ATGTGCCCGCAACCAAGGTACATGCCCTTGACCGGAATCGAACCTGGGACCCTTGAGTCTGTAGGCCAATGCTCTATCCACTGAGCCAAACCGGTTAGGGCTGTTTTCTTTTTAAAATATATATATATTTTATTGATCTTTACAGAGAGGAAGGGAGAGGGATAGAGAGATGGAAACATCAATGATCAGAGAGAATCATGGATCAGCTACCTCCTGCATGCCCCCTACTGGGGATCAAGCCTGCAACCCAGGCATGTGCCCTTGACTGGAATCGAACCTGGGACCCTTCAGTCCACAGGCTGACGCTCTATCCACTGAGCCAAACCAGCTAGGGCTCTTCTTTTTTTTAATCCTCACCCGAGGATGATTTCCCATTGATTTTTAGGGAGAGTGGAACAGAGAGGGAGAGACGGAGAGAAATATCGATGTGAGAGAAACACATGAATTGGTTGCCTCCTGCATGAGCCCCGACCAGGCCGGGGAGGACCCTGCAACCAAGGTACATGCCCTTGACCAGAATGGAACCTGGGACCCTTTGGTCCGCAGGGTGATGCTCTATCCACTGGGCCACACTGGCTAAGGCTCTACTGTTTTTTTCTCTCCTAGAACTTGGAGCACAAAGCCCAGAGGTGCAGAAGCTGATCTGTAACCATGAGGACAGAAAGCATATGCTGACGGTGGTGGGGTAGGAAGATGAGCGAGTCTGCATCCTAGATGACCCGGTGACGCCGGCGCCCCATCCTGAGCTGGGACCTTTGGACCTCTCAGCACGTAAGAAAAATAAACCTCCATCCGTTGGGCTGTCTATTCTTGCAGCTCTGTGGCAGGTTTACATTTTTTCACGCTTTTATCAAAATGTTGAAGTGTTCAGCTATTATTTCTTCAAATATTTTCTCTGCCCCGTTCTCTCTTTCTTCTCCTTCTGGGACTCCACAGTACACATGTTGGTCTGCTCTGATGGTGTTCCACAGGTCCCTTATGCTCTGTTCACCTTTCTTCAATCTCTTTTCTTTCTGTGTCTCCGACTAGATAAGGGTCACTGTTCTGTCTTCAAGTTTGCTAATTCTTTCCCCAGCCTGCTCACATCTACCTTTGAATCCCTCTAGTAAGTTTTTCAACTCTGAATTTTCTATCTCTTGATGGATATTTCCATTTTGCTTATACATCGTTTTTTATTTTCTTCATATCATCTTCCTTTGAGCATCTTTAAGAGAATTGTTTAGCTTTGTCTAGCAAGCGTGCCGCCTGATCTTTCTCAGGGATGCTTCTGTTGTGGGTGTGTTTCCCCCCTTGAATGGACCATATGTTCCATTTCTTTGTCTGCCTTATGATTTTGTTGTTGAAAACCGGGTATTTCAATCTAATAATGTAGTGACTGGAAATAAGATTCTCCCCCTTCCCTGGGTTTGCTGATTTTTGCTTTTTGTTTTTTGATTGCTGTAAGCCGTGCCGTGCCAGTGACTTTATACATACCCCTGTGTCTGTGGTTGCTTTTGAATGTCCTACATGTCTGGCTCTTAAAAGGGGAAAATAAAGAGTGATGGGAGGGGGAGGGGGAAGTGGGGGGGGGAGAGGAAGAAAAAGGGTGCTGGCCCTTTAAATCTCCTGGACTTTGATTTAGTTGGACAGGGAGGGTCTTGCAGTAGTAGGAGTGCCATAGTGCAAAGATCAAAACCAGGAGTTTAACCTTGGTATGAGGATAGCCACTAAACTATGAACCAATCCAGGTTTCACCATTGCATTTAGTTGTGCTGTTTCCTAGTGTCCCCAGTCTCTCTCCGTCTTCTCTTTTCTTGATGTCCTTGAGGGGTACCGGGCACGCACTTGTGCAGTGTCTCTTGATTCGGGTTTGTCGAATGTTTCCTCATGAGTAGATTGAAGTGGCACATTTTTGGCAAGAAGACCGCAGAAGTGATGTTGTGCCCCTTGCATTATCCTGGGGTTACAGGTTGTCAGCGCGTCTGATTACTGGGCATGCTAACCCCGGGCATTGGCTCAGGTGGCTTCTCCACTGCAAACTACTCTCGCCCCTTTGTCATTAACAAATATCTTGGAGATCATACAGTGAGACAGTGTGTTTATCCTGTTTCTCCTGTCTTTTGCTCACTGATTTTAGCATCCATTGTAGATGTTGCCCTCGCCGGTTATTACTGGGCTGTTTGTATTTCTCTCATTCCTTCTACATTTATCTGTTTATATTTTAAATATATTTTTATTGATTTCAGAGAGGCAGGGAGAGGTAGAGAGAGAGAGAAACATCCATAATGAGAGAGAATCATGGATCGGCTGCCTCCTGCACACCCCCTACTAGGGATGGAATTCGCAACCCAGGCATGTGCCTGGAATTGAACCCAGGACCCTTCAGTCCGAAGGTTGACGCTCTATTCACTGAGCCACACCGGCCAGGGCTCCTCCTACATTTTTTTTAAACATTTAATCACCTTTATTTATTTATTTTTTGTTTGTTTGTTTTTGTTAATTCTCACCTGAGGATATTTTTCCATTGATTTTTAGAGAGAACAGAAGAGAGACAGAGACAGAGAGAAACACCGATGTGAGAGAAACATATCGATTGGTTGCCTCCTGCAGGAGCCCTGACCAGGGCCCAGGCTGGGGCCTGCAGCCAAGGTACATGCCCTTGACTGGAATCAAACCCAGGATCCTTTGGTCCGCAGGCTGATGCTCTATCCACTGAGCCACACCAGCCAGGGCCCTACATGTATTAAATGAGATTCTTCTGCAAGGAAGAGCTTCCCTGCTCATTATTTATTATTCAGCTCCTTGTTACTCTCAGTGTGGACTCCCGGACGGTTATTGTATTCTACGGGTTCTAATCCAAGGCTGTCATTATTGATGTTGTTGCTCACTCGCTCTAATTCTGATCGCTGGAAGCTCCTTCCAGTGAGCGCCTGTGCCCCTCCAGCATTCTCCTCCCGTTTTGCAAGAGCGTCCTTATCTTCCTCATGCAGATGATTCGGGGGAGACTGTTTAGTGAAGAGACCGATGACAAAGGTCCTGGCAGGATTGTGGAACTTAGCGGGGGACACTGAGGCATCAGGGACTAGCAACAGGGGAACCCATGAATGCCATCGGCCCACAGGTGCAGGCAACGATGTGCCTGGAGTCTGGGGAGAGCCGAGCCGTGAAAAGGGGCCCCTGCCCCCTGGGGTCAGGGTGGTGCTACCTCCTGGCGGAGGCCTGGCTGAGGGCCCTCTGTCGCCTCCATGCAGGGCTGCTTTCCGGAGCCGATGTGCTGGTTTCCTGGGCAGGGAGTCCCTGTGCCCTGTCCACATGGCTGGGCAGGGAGCTGGGGTGGCAAGTGGAAGGCGCCCTGCTTGTGGGTGTTTTTTTGTTGTTTTTTTAAGGTTCTGGTTGGTTTCCAGAGCCATTTCCCAAGCGCCCACATTCTGGGCAATGCCCTGGAGCCGGAGGACTGCGGTGCCAGGTGCAGTGACGCCAGTTCCAGGCTAGAAACTGCCCCGGGAGAGGGAGGCCCGACCCGTCAAACTGGGTGGGCAGGGGCCTCCTTGGGGC